GATGTCACACAATGCATCCATTGTTTCAAGTTGCATCATTGCTGCCATTGAAGGACATTATGGTAATTATCATCCACCAGATATTAAGGAGCGAGTGAAATATTCAACCTTGCACATTAACCCATTGATGGGCATGTATTGGGTTTATTCAGTGAAAGCTGTCGCCAATCAATTAATGTATTTGAGTTTTATTAAGGACTCTCGTAGCATGAAAGAGGTTTCTGATGGTTTACAAAAGTACAGAACGACCTTGAAAACATTCAGAAAACCATCTCCTTTTCCTCATTAAGGCCACTCATTTTGCACAATATATGATTCAAAAAAAGAAAGATCAATTTTCAATGTTTCCAAAACATTCAGTTTTTTAGCATTCTAACAAAAATATTTTAACCTCCTTTTGGTTTCACAACCAATCTCAAACAAGTATAGGCAAAGATATGATACACCAGGATGAGAGCGAGACCCAATCCCAAGTTAATCCAAGTCACCGACATCACCGTGTCCATTTCCAAATTCTCCAACACAGCATCACCATTAGGAAATGGGCAGAAAGAAGAGGAAGGACACTCCAGCTTCAATCCCTTAAACTCATTAATGACAAATGACTCGAAAACAAAGTGGAAAATGCTGGTCCAATAAATCCAAATAAAATACACTGGAATAGTTGCCAAGTTCTTATAAAATCCTCCAAATAACATGAGCTGGATAACAGTTCAATTCATTAAATATTTTCCATTCCACATAATCAATGAACATTGCAAGGTGTGCAAGGTCACAAAGATTTCAATTATGATATCCGTTATTACCCATTACATTTCACAAACATTTCAAGATGAAAACTTACCACTGTTGCCACTACAGGCATGATTGTAAAGGCCACCCCAGGATTTGGAGCAAAACTAGCAATGGCACATCCTAAAGCTTGTCCTGTCAGACTCATGACCACAATAATCAAAATAAACATGAAAAATCTCTCGACTGCAGCATTCAATCCTAGCCACCAATAAATCACCGAGCCAAACAAGATCGGATAAAACACTGCTCCTGGAATATCTGCTACCACACGTGCTAAATAAAAGCTACTCACATGATACATTTTCGCTCCACGTTCTCTCAATAAGACTGGTTTATCCTGAAGGAGAATATTCAATGAGGAGGATAGACTTCCAAAAAACAAGTTACTAGTCGAGAAGAATAACACTCCCAATCGATCCTGAACGCCCGTTTGTCCATTATTCAATCTCAAATAAATTAATCCAAGAAGGAAGGCAGTTGAGACTTGTTGTGAAAAACGGGCCATTAAGGAAGGCTCTCATGAGAACCACGAAGAATTGATAGAACCAATTCGAGTTATATTTTGATGATTTCTTGAGTGTGGTGAGTTCTGGCTCTCCTTCATTTTGTGACTGCAATAAAGTCTTTTCCATTATTTGAGAATTCTCCTTTTTCAATTCTGAATCGGAATAGAAGGACAAGATTCGTTCAATACGTTTCTCTTGTTCAACTTTAAATCGTTTTCCCTTTTCTGAATTTTCTGAAGCAAGAGCTGGATTTTCTGTGACCATGTCCATGACGAAATCAGCTGGATTGAACTCTTCAGGACATTGATATCCAATTTTTTCAAAATAAGGAATGACTTTGTGGGCGTCACCAAAATAGGCAATTTTGCCACGTGCCAACAATAATAGACGATCAAACAATTGAAAGATATCACTGCGAGGTTGATGAATCGTCAACACAATTGTTCTTCCATGTTGTTGAGCCAAACGATTGATCAATTGAATTACATTCAAACTTGTTTTTGCATCCAAACCTATTTAAGAATAACACGAATTCATTTGATTTAATTCATTTTGAATAGGATCATAACATGAAAATTGACATGATTTGGGTCATAGGATATAAATCATTATCCTGTTCTCACTCACAGACTAGTACAAGTACTACTACTTACCTGTCGTTGGCTCATCCAAAAACAACACACTCGGTTCCGTGAGTAACTCAATGGCAATACAGAGCCGTTTTCTCTCACCTCCCGAAATTCCTTTCGAAAGTCCAGGAAGTCCCACAATCGTATCGGCCACTTTGGAAAGTCCCAATTCCTGCATGATGGTATCCACTCGTTCCATCTTGGCCTTATTGGGAATTGAGGAATCTAAACGGAGAAGAGCTGTATAACGAAGGGTCTCTCGGACGGTGAGATTAGGCAACAGGACATCATCTTGTTGAACAAAGGCACTGATGGATCGAAAGGCTTTTCCTGCTTTGGATTTATTGGCGAGGAGAGAGCCACTAGTGGGTTTGACTCGTTGAGAGAGAATATTGAGGAGAGAGGTTTTACCCTGTTGAAGATGATGCGGTTTAAGGAAAGTTGAGTATTTTTTTTAAGGTTGACCATTCGTAAGGTTGACCGGGAAATTGTAAAGAATGCCATTAATTGATTGAAATGATCATTTAGTATGCATTTAGTATGAATTGATTAAAAAAAGATGAATCAAGATGATGAAGAATTGAAAAAAAACACTTACAGCTCCACTAGGTCCCATAATTGCCAAAACAGAACCAGGTTTCACATAACCACTCATGGCATGCAAAATGACTTTTTGTTCCTTTCTAAATAAATTCTTCATTGTAAATGCCAATCGTTCTCGAGGAGTGGTCAATTTCGAGGCTGGCAATGAGGGTCTCACTTTCACCACATAGGTCAAGTCATGCCATTCCAACATGACACTCGGAACTGTTCGACCATACGAACCTTTTACAGAATTGTGATTCTGATGATAGGATTTCATTTCAATCGAGATGGAATTATTGTTGTTCTCAACAACTACGGCAGCAGAAGTGGTTGTGAATGAAGTGCTACTACTACTGATCGCCGCAAGAGATTCCATATTTGAATAAATGGATGGAATGGCATGTGGCGGATGAGTAATCATAGTTTGGTTTGTGATGGTCTGTTCTTCTCTGTCATTTTCGAAAAGATTCTCAGCACTGCGCATTCCAACAACAAGAGGAGTCGTATTGGCGGTGGCTGTTGGTGTTGACATTTTTTGTGTGTAGTGTTTGCTAATCAATCTCGAGTATTTTATTGAAAATTCATCCGTCGCGGAGTTTTTGGAAAGGAAAAACAGCGCTAATTGATGTAATGAACAACCACGAACGAGAAGAGGGATTCAACTCGCGGACTTGACTTCGCAGTTATAAAACACCACAGACATGTATGATTCTTAAGAATAAGTGCCAATCAAGAACGTACAAATAAAGACAAGTCATTCATGAAAAAGTGCATTGTTGTTCAACAATAACAACATTTGCGAATCTATTCACTTGTTTACTGGGAATCAAAGACCACTCAATCTATAAGGCTGTCAAAAGTCTTTAATGTTCAATGCAACAAGTATGGCAATACTGGATTGTTTCTCAAGTTCATTCTTAGACCATATATTCTTTTAACATTTTCATCTTAGCAAATGACACACTTCTTGTTTGGAGAAGTGGTTCTATGATTATTCTTGTCTTCATCGTCTTCACGATCATTTTCATGTAAAGATGTGGGAATGAGTGTCAACGAGGAGAGTGATTGTTGTGTTTGCTCGACCAATCGTTCATGAAAACTCCATGCATGCATGTGTGGATTCATTCCCAATCGCTCTCCACTCTGAGCATCAACCTCCACCAAGAAGTAAGCAACCTCCTCCAAAGTTCCAACAATACAAATGGATCGACCTTGTGTTTTGGTACAAACGTCTCTTTTCAGAGTGCATGAAACATCAAAATGTGAAAAATGTGAAGTGGTGGTGCTTTCAATAATGCATTGTTTCCACAGCAGGTTTCCATTGTGAATGTTGAGGCAATAGAGGAAAATTCCATGTCCTCCACTCACAAGAACGTACAATCTATTTTCCAATACAATGGTTTGAACGTTGGGTTGATAGGAAAATTTTGACAAGTCGTCCATTGGTGTGCGCCATGAGGGATTTCCAATGGAAATGACACTTGAGTTATGTCTCGTTGTTGTTGTTGCTTCTTCTGTAGTACAAGATACTGCTTCTCTTCTTTCCTCATCATGATCATTATATTTTTGAATAGGGTCTGTTGTTCCACAATGATTCGAACAAGAAGAAGAAGAAGAAGAATCTGTTCCTCCTTCTCCTCCTTGTACGTCTTCAACTCTTTGAATTGGACAAAAGCTCATTTCATGCACATCATAAATTTCCACACTAAGCAAGCCGACTAATTGTGAGTCCTTCTCCACCATATACATGGCCAAAGGATTCGATGTATTTTCAATCTTTGTACCACTCTTCAAATGTACCAACTCGGTTCGTAATTTCTGTTTTTCAGTTCCAGACATGAGCCAATACTCAGAACCAATACATGTGAAATCGACTTGTAAATTTCTGGTACCCATCATGATTGGGACTGTGTATTCAAATGTTGCATTTTCCAAGTCCAATAAATTGTGATGATGAGTGGTGTTTGTTGTGTTTGTTGTGGTTGTTGTGTTTGAAGGCACTTGTTTCTCAAAAGTCGAAGAAGTAGTCGTCGTCATCGTATCATGATTATTAGTATTTACAGAAATTTCTTCTTGTGTTCTCTCTTCATTGAGGAAAAGATTACAACTCACGAAATGCACATGAGAACCTTGTGGCCTCACATCAAAGAAGATTCGATTCGGAGGATTCATTTGTCGTTGTGAATATTCATTTTCGAGATCTGTAATGGTCAAATTGAAAGTTGTGGTGAGTCGATTCCATGTTGCCATTGCACATGTTTTGAACGTTTTCAAATGGATGGAAATTAAGGAAGAAATGGATGATTCATTGCCATACACAGAGAGTATGAGATGATGAGAGGTCAGTACGGCGCAGTCAAATGTTCTCTTCTTGATGGAATTTTGAGTTGTTTCATGAGGTAGTGATGATGATGAAAACGATGATGTTTGCTCGCGTAACAGAGAAACATAATTCATGTTGTTGTTGAAATGATGATGCTGAGGAGGAGGAGGAGGATTGGAAACACTGCTACTACCACTCTTTCGTTTCCATTTTTGAAAAGTAGTCGAAGTGTGTGTGTGGACACAGGAAGAGGTTTCATTGGTCATCACATTCATTTGATCTTGTGACACATTGTAAATAAATTCGACTTGTCCCGTTTGTTTCCGCAATGACATGACAAATGTAGTGTCCACTCTCCTCAATATAATAATTAATTGTCGATCGTTTTGAAAGGTCTGACACACTTGTAATGGCGACCTTACATATTGTTCCAAATCCACACACCATTTCACACATGAAAAAGTTTCCAAATCCACACAAAATATTTTGTTGGAATTGTTTGTTGAACAAGACGAATGAAAGTGATGAAACAACAATGAACTACCACCACCACCCCCACCACCACTTGAATATTGCCTTCCTGAGGAGTGCACTCCATTCATGAATGAAAATAATAATATGGGATAGGCATATAAAGAATCATACGGCATGTGCATGGAATGATATTTGAAATTATTCATTCCTTTTCTCCATTGTTTGGATAAGGCAATAAAATTTACAAGTAAATCTATTGTGTGAGGACTTGTGGAGGAATCATGCTGAAAAGTCTTGCTGTGAGCATTCTGATTGGAATTGGTTGGTAATAATAATACATCACGTGGATCTTGATCAATGATGTGAGGATCCTTCTTGTCGACGTTGCTGGCGTGGAGTTCAAATTTTGGGAAAATAATGTGAGGAATGAATTTCAATTCGTGTTTCTGTAAATCGTATCGATAGGCTCCAAATAAGAAATATCGTTTTTTGACCTCTTTGATGTATATTTTACATTGTTCATAAAATTGTTTGTTGACATATTGAAAAGATATCACGACATCATGTATTTTACAATTTTCTAATATACACATGATCATTTCATCGGGAATGGAGTTCATTGTGTCGTGAACTTTCTCCACGAATGTGTGTGTCGAGGACGTTGATCCGACACGAGGAGGATGAACCATCTTCACCTCCTTCATCTTTTTGTTTTGCATTTTTTTTTGTGGGAAACACTCTGTTTTTCTCGACGTTTGATCGATCCGACTGGTGACTGAATAATATTATTGTGGACGGACACACAGACAACATGTCGCCATGGTCAAATATTTTCTGAACGCTTAATTCCCCTGCGAATATTATGGAAGAGATACAAGTTCCGTATTGCACCATCCTTTTTCCTTTCCAACTCCGATTCCGATCGGAGAAAACTTTAAAAAAAAACTGACTTCCCTTCTTCTTCTGTTCGCCCTCATCACTTGAGATTTGTTTTTCCAATTCCAGAACCTCCTTCATCATGATCATGATGCAAACGGAAGCAAGCCTTCCAGCCAAAATTCTCGAGAAACGAAACCGAAGGCCAAGTCAGCAACAACCAACGCCAGAAATAATTGACAAGCCTCATCAACCACCGTTGAAATCAATTGACAGCCTTCCAACTTCATCGGCGGTGGTGGTAGTTAAAAGTCATCGTGATGATGATGATGGTGATGACTCGACCACCTCGGCTTGTTCCGCCAAGCAGCAAGAACGACAACAACTAGTCCTCAACCATTCATCATCATCATCGCCTACTCCTCTTCCACAACAACAACCACCACCACCATTCATGGAACAAGGAATGAATGAGGCCATTCCGAAGAAGAAGAAGAAGAATTCTTCTCCAGAAACGAATCAGAATGATAATGGAAAGAAGGAATTCGGAGGCTCTGGCGAAAAGAATAATTATTTTGATGGACAAGGAAATGTTCCTCTTCGTAACAACCAAATGACGAATCCTCCTTGTCCTCCCATCATGGCGAAGACGACCACGACGAACACAGAAAAAGAGTTTGAGCCTTTGCTTCCGAGACCGATCCGAACAGCCGCTTCCACACCATTGACCAACAACACAACGAGCTCATTACCTTCCATTCCTATAACGGCTAGCAACAATAATATGATGATTCATCATGGACCTTACACAGCTGCGATAGGAGGAATCAATAACAACAATAACAACACGGGTGCAAGTTTCACTCCATCGCCATTATCGGCGAACTCTCATGCGGGGTTTTCTCAGAACGCTTTTCCGAGTCAGTCGTCCTTCTCGAATGCGAATGCGATCAGCAACGTTATGAATCATTCACAAGACATGAGTGCCGAAAACAAAAAGAGAAGAAGAAATCAAGCCAAATCGGCGTGTGAAGCTTGCCGACGTGCTCACACCGCATGTCAAGACCAAAAACCATGTCATCGATGTGTCAAGCTTGGCTTGGAATGTGTAGAGGCACAGAAAAAGACAAAGGTGAAAATTGCAAAAACTTCTGGAACTTCGCCGTCAGCATCCATGTTACCTCTCTCGACAATCATGACAGCGAGCACTACCATGACATCCAACGGTCAATACAATTTGCCTCAGACCTTGATCAATTGCGGTGCTTCTGCTCATGGATCAATGACGAACACCACTACTCAAGCATCCAGCGACCATCAGAGACATCAAACTGGAGGAAACCAAACATCTCCACCTGTTAAAGGTGTCTCCCGTAAGAAGCATGCAGAATCTGCAATTGGCTCAGTTTCTTCTTCTTCGTCGTCAACAACCTCTTCGTCATCGGATGGTGGTGGCGAACAACGAGGTTTTGATCCAGTCCCTGTTCAATTTCATGCATCTTCCCACACGATTGATGTTAGTATTCAACCTCATCATGGTGGTGGTCATGCATTTCAAGAGTCTACAAGTCCATTGGGTGGATTAGTAGCGAGCAATCATCAATCACAAGCTTTAACTCACACAACAGGGCAACCTCTTGCAACTCCTGCAGCATCTATGCCTAATGCCTCGCAACAATCAGGTCACATGATGAATTCCATTCCTTACCATGATTCACACCACAATTATGGGTCGTCTTCATCGACACCACATGACAGCTTGTCCAATTACCACCCACCAAACACACCAACCACAGGAGGAGACAGCAACAACAACGTTGGTGAGGGATCGGTCCACCTTTCTCAATTGTCACCTCAATTCATTTTGCAATTCCAACAACATGTCAAGGATGGAAACATCGACAAACTACGTGCAGCGTGTGAGCAGTGTTTTCAACTCATTACCATGTCTGTTGAGGAAATGAAAAAGACGTTTGCCATTCCTCAACTCTCTCGTCATCAACAACAAGATTTTCAATGGAATTTGACTCGTAATGGATTTTTATTGTCCTACTTGTATGGAAAATTCAATGTCATGAATATGATGAGAGATGTATTATGGACTCGTCATCGAAAAGAGTACATTGATTTTCTATACAAACTCATCTCATTAGAAGACGACAAGGCACTCATACGCATGTTTTTACAGGGAGTTCAATTAGATCTCAACACGATTGAGAATGATAATGGCGTTGGATTATTAAGCTTTTGTGCATGTTTCGGTCGAATTGAAATTTTCAAAATGCTTTGTGAAGAATTTTCTTGCTCACTCTATCAGTGTCGAAACGAAAAGTATTTACCCATTCATTTTGCTTGTAGTTATGGAAATGTAGAAATTGCAGAGTATATTCTTCAAAAGCATCCAGATCAACTCGATATTCAAATTAATAATCACAGCTCTCCCCTATTAATTTCAGCCGCCTATGGTAGCATGAAGAGTGTCAAGTTTTTAGTGGAACGTGGAGCCAATGTGATGTTGAGTGATCATGACGGTCAATGCGCGGTTTATAATGCCACCAAGTACAATCATTTTTCAATTGTTCAATATTTAGCACAACACAATGCAGATCTTTATGCCAAAACTAACTCTGGTCAAAGTATTTTTGACTTGGCAGAAGGATCACCAGAAAAGAAACTCTTATTGGAGCTCATCATTCAAAACAAAACTCTCAACGATAGAATTTCCTTACAGGATGACCTTATTAGATCAATGAGGCAAACTTGTAAATAAACAATGAGTTTTGGGTTTTTGATAATGTTGATTTTCATCCAATGCTAGAAAGTTTGAGGAAATTGATGGTTCCTATTTATCCACATCTAATTTTCCAAAATTAACCTATTTGAGCATATCGAATGGACTCTTTGCAATGAACAATTTTTTGGTAAATCTTGCTTCTGGATCATCTTTGAAACATTTGAAGCATTTAGAATTGTTGACAGACTTGTTTCATGAACAGACATTACTTGACATTGTGAACCATTTATGTCCTCGCTATTTGACAATCTATCGTAATTATGCTTTGAATTACGAGGAATTAAGGAAGAAAATAACATCCTCAACCAAAATAATTTTTTATGAAGAATTTCAATCAGACAAGTTTATTTCACTTCAATAAATTTGTTTTCAATTTGTTAATGAAAGGAAAGAAACTAAAGGGTTTGTAACTTCGATCACAACTTAAAAGACCAAGAATTTTGAGGAATGAAAAAACAGTAAGAAGTTCTTTACAAACTATTTCCTCAGTGTTGTCCGTTAACGCTTGTTGTTTAAGAGGAATGTGGTGATGATCTGCAAACATTTCCACACAATTCCTCGTAAACAAAATTTCACATTTGAACAATAAAGATATACAACAATGTTGTAATTTATTTGAAATGCTTTTCATTCGCATCTCTTTCTCGTGACTGCAGTCGATCCTATTTACATGGAAAAGATCATCATCATGACAGCAATCATTACTGAAATCACAATTGCAGCGCTATTTCTCACCATAAAGCCTGCAGAAGTAGTGCACTTAATTATTGTTCCAAAAAAGCAATCATGGCTACCAGTGGAACCTAAATTGAGCATATTTTGACAATTTTGATCACTGTAAGTCACCAAAGAATTGCAACCCTTATACATGTAAGAGCCAAAGGTTGTGTTAAAAGATGGAATACAAGCATCCAATGCAACAATAGACACAAGTGTTACATTTCCTGAACATTTTAGATCACTGTAAATGATTGACATGCGTTCTCCAACTTTTGGAGAGAGTGGAGCAGTGTTGGTGCAAGTGGTTGTGGTACTCAATCCACCCATTGATGGAGGGACATTGGTGGAGCAATTTTGAGGTTTACAAGAATAGGTCATGTTGTACTGTTGAACCAAAGATGTTCCATTACAGGTGAGAGATGGGAATGTTTGGATCAACTCATATTGTGCTTGAACAGGAGAAATGGTGGTGGATGAGAGAACAAGCAACACGAATGCAGCAGCAAAGCTCAAAAGGAATGGATTGGAACGAATAGAAACTTTCATTTTGTGTCTAACTAACAGATGTTTTTTTTGATTTGAAATGACAGATGGCGTTTCGAAAAGGGAATTTAAAGGACACCAACAAACAGTAAATGAGATGATAGAGTTGTGTTTGGATTTCATTTGACCGAGAATGGGACAAGCTGTTGTTAATTTAGTTATCATAAAACAGTAGAGGTAGGAGCAAATCAACTTTCCTTTTTGGAACATATCGAGAATGAAGATCACCAAACAGAGAATCTTTCTTCCATAATTAGATTATTTCACACGACTACTTGTCAATTTCAGTACTGAAATGAAATGGTTCTTTACTAATAATAAGTGACATCTTCAATGACAGGTAATATAATGGCAATATTCCAACTACTCCACAGACCAAAGTGACAAGTTGGAAATTCCTTTCATCTTTAAATAAGGAAATACATTGTCAACCGTTAATGTCACCAAATGTTGTTGTAGACCAGAAGGTTGATTGACGAACTCTTACAATAATTTTTAATTAAATTTTGATGCCAAATGGCTTCCTTGCCTTCATTGTGATCTCCTTCTTGCTTAAAACCTTAAAACTTGGGAATCTTCTCATAAGACTAATTGACAATAAAAGCAGAAAATCATTTCAAACATCGAAAGTCAACCCCATTTGTTTCATTCCTTTAAATACCAAACAACGAAACCATGAATCCCCTTAGAATGTGTTTCACAGGTCTATTATATTAATTTTTAATTCTGATTCGGCAATTCTTCTCGTTCTCATCCATGTGATATGAAAATTATAGATAAATTTAACAAATGAAAATGTAAAATCCTATTCTCAAAAACGGAGACGTTTTTTTCACAACCAATGTTCTCAATCTCTTCTTTTGAATATTTTAAAACAATTTCCCATTTTACTTTTCTCAAATCCAACTAAATGACAATTTTGATTTTTAATTAAGATATTAAAGTAAATTTCCAAATCTTTAATAACCTTAAAATCTCTTGACATTGTGTTGATCTTTGCAAATTCACAACAACAAAATGAAGACGAGCTTTCTCATGGTGTTTCTGGTTTTGGTTTTACTTCTTGGAACAATAGTTCATTTCAGCCAAGGATTATGTGGAGGATGGTGTATCTTTGATTATAACACTGGTACTTGTCGCATCTATGGATGTCCATGTACTTGCAACTGTTGGGGTCCATCCTATGCTTGGTGTTTCTAGGATGTTTCTAGGATGTTTCTAGGATGTTTGCAATGAAATCAGTTCATGGGATCATTATGTTGAATATAGAATATTCTATAAACAATATAAGGGTTTTCTTCAGAGGGAATCATTATTGTATATAAAGTCGTTAAACTGTGGAATCTTTAAGCATAATCATCTCCCACTAGTTCTCCAAATGTGGTTACAATATTGTTGTTCTTGTCGAAGAACATGAGCATCCTTTGATTCTTATGGTTGTTATAAGAAAGAGATCCAATCATGTCCTATCTTTTATTTCATCTTTTATTTCATATTCAACAAGTATCATTTACAAACGGGACAAACAAGGAACAAATAGTGGTGTAATTTGTGTGTATTCCAAACAATCTCGTGTTCCCAATCAATGTGATTCACAAGGAATCGATCACCATCAAGACTGCAACCATCAAGGACCATGTGGTCACAATTCCAATCATTCTACTAATACTATTACTACTACTTTTCATTGCAGCATCAAGGCATTGAATGTTCTTTCCTTTAAAACAATCAATATTCGTAAGAGGTTTCGTCTCGAGTTCTTGTTGACAATGATCATCACTGAAAGTCACAAAAGATTGACAACCCTTATACATGTAAGAGCCAAACTTTTGTTTAGAAGCTTGAATACAAGTATTCAATCTATAAATAAAAACACGCGATGGATTTCCAGTACATTTTGGATCACTGTAGAATTTTGTCATGTATTCACCTAATTGAGGTGAGTTTGGAAGAGTGTCAGGACAAGAAATGGTATAACTCGATTCACCAACAGAGTAGCAACCCATCTTCTGACAAGAAGAGGAGGAGACGCTGTAAATTTGGTTCAAGGGTTTTCCCTTGCAAGAATGTCCTTTGAAAAGTTGGATTAATTGGTGTTGAGCATGAAGAAGAGAAATGATGTTTGTGGACGAGAGAAGAAACAAAAAGAAGGCAATTTTTAATAGGAATGAAATGGAACGAGAAGGAAGCATGACGTGAATCAATTAGCAATTTGGTGTTTTTTAATACATTGAAAATGACAGCAAGATGTTCCTTTTAGGTGCATTTAAATGATTTAGAATTGACAACATGGAGTATCTATGAGAGATGTGGAATTCATTAGACATTTTGACAGTGAGACTTGACTGGTGAGAGGGCGATGATCCTTAAAATTTTGAAACGAAAACAAACCTTTCTTATTATAGTCTTAAAATATTATTATTATTAGTAAAATTCAACCCAATCTGGTTGGACATGTTTTTATATTTAAAAATGTCCATCCCTGATTCGTTACCTGTTAATTTATGGACATCTTCAATATGAGAACACCTACCTCCTTCATGTAATGTGTCGACAAAATTGGTTTCAATGACGGTTCGATGATCGAAAGAACAAAATATACTTTTATTATCCCTGAAGGCTAAGTAACTTATTGCACACCACCACTGGTATTCATTGATGTTCAATCCTCAATGGTGAATTAGCGAATGAAGAGACTATTTGTTGCTTCGAGTGTGCGGTAGAACAAGGAAAAAAATGCAAAATCATCGCTTTCAGAATAACTTCACATCATCATCATCATCGTGCAACCACTTTCCTCTCTCGATTCCAAATTTCGCACGAAGGAAGAGAATTTTCAATGAAAAAACAGGGCATTTAGTTTTGATGGATATGAATCATCAACCTCAACAAAAGCAACAAGAAGAAGGCTTTATTTCCGACTTGAAAGATGCTTCTCTCCGAAGAAGAAATAATCTTCTCATCCATAAGAATAATACTAGTAACAATAGTAACAACAATAATAATATCAATCATCCATGTACACACTCCGCCTCGGATGATCATGAAAATTCATCCATAGAACATGCTCTTTCCTTCTTTTCCCTGGACTCAATATGTGAGAGTTTCAATATTCCAATGACCCTGATTGGACGATACCTGAGATCGGAAGAGGCAAAAACCATCGTTTCATGTAACTTACAAACTCACCGTTTGAAACTATTGTGGATGTCTATGCTTAATCTCATGTCCAGATTATATGTAACGGTTTCAACAGTGCAAGAAAATTCAGGAAATCCCATCACTTCCTCCACCCTAAGAATGTATCCAACTCCGACTGCTAACGTTTATGTATCACCTTGCATTGCTCTCGTGAAATGCATGGCAAAACAATTGTACAAACAAATTACTGAAATTACTCTTGAAATTGATACCGTTCTGACCAGATTGAGCGAATTCAACAAGTTACTTTCAAACTTTAGTGAAACTAATCACTTTCTCATATCACAATTGTTTCGGTATTGTATGGCCTTGGAGTCGGGTGCTGCTGGTTCAGTAAACTCGGGCGCAGTGACAACTCCCCAACAATCATCCAACAGCATGAAAACGACACTCATCAAAGAGAGAGAATTTGTCTCTCATTTTCAGAGAATACTCATCAAGAGGTTAGGATTAATCTTGAATGGGTTAGATTTATCGAAATGGTCGCAACAAAACCCTAAGGTCACTGCCAAGAGAGAAGACCACACCACTGGTATCAAAGTGCCTATGCTCAAGCAAATTGACCGTTTATCTGATGAGGATTTATTCGATTTCATTGCTTCTATTCAAGATGTTGCCCTGAAATATGGGGTCGGTATCATTAAACCTACCCCGCCTCCTCCTCCTCCTGAAAAGATACAACAAAGACCTCAAAGTGAGAAGATGAAAGAAACTACAACAACCACACCCCAGACGCATTCATTGATGAAAAATCATGAACCTACCTCTGTATCGACCGATAATAAGCAGCATGACCTGCCAACGATGTGTACAACAATGAAGAGTGACGATCAGAATGTTACCGACAATAACGAAGATGACCACCATTGCAAGAAATCCACCACCAATACTCGTAGAAATGATCACGAAATGGATCTCAGTGGTGACAGCTCAAATAAGGCAGAAGAAGAAATGAACAATGAACAGCAGGGACATTCTTTTGCAACTTCCAAAGCCAATCTCCTAACGGAAGATGAAAAGCACCAGAACATCATGCCCGCAGGTGAACCACCACGTCCAACCTCATCCACAATAGCCTCCACAGGTGACACAGCCTCAAATGAGCAGAAAGATCACATGACGACGATTTCTTCGAGTCCTCCCCTTTGTACTCCATCGACACCCTCAAGTGTCACACGACCCTTAATGACAACAGGAGTTCTCTCAGCTACTCCCATTCCAAAATCAAGTCAAATGATACGAACCACAAGCAACTCAAAAACCAATAGTGATGACCTTGATTTATCAGGAACCGGAGAGGACTTGTTACCCGAAGATGCCCTCCTGTTGCTGAATTCGAGGTTGAACTCGCATAACACTCCCGTGCTCTCTGCCAAAAGAAGAACAAGAATGTACCGCTCTCATCATCCACAAAACAACAACACGCTTCTACGCAATCCTCGGCTGCTCGAAATCAAACAATGAAACGAAAAAATCATCCTCTTTCACGGATGACAATGATGGTGACAGCGACGAAGAAGACGTGCCTCTTGTATCAATCATTCCATCCAAGTCCTCTGCTAAAACACATCATTCTAACAACAAATCAAAACAACCACAGTCTCGACACGACCTTAAACAGTTCAAAACCTTTGAGGACATTGATTCTTTGAATAGCCCAAACAACGAACAGCATCAAAATGACGAATTGTTCGACGACGATGAAAACAATGAATTCGATGAGCCCTTATACAGTTCAGGCACACCATAATGAAGAACAACATGATCTATAATAATGATAGATACCTCAAAGCTCATCAGTGATTGGATTATGACATTCAATTCTTCGCGCAAGCCTCACTCAGAAAGAAAAAAATGATAAAATTTGTGAATGCTCGTAAAACTTTTTGTTTTGAAAGTGGCAAGAATCTCTGTCCGAGCCATCATCAAATGATACAATTCGGTTTTCATTTGTCATCGGAATTAAATCAACAACATCAGCAAAAAAGCAAACGTTCGTTCGAACGTTTTATTCATAGTAGCGAAAGCTCCAACACTGCCCTTTCCCATAAATCATCACCCTCCTCCATCTCGAAAACCACCCACGACCATTACACCAATAACAAACAAAAAATTCCCACCTTGAGTAGTAGCATCATCACCCCATTCCCTTCTTCATTCTCAAAAACGCATCATCATCGCTCCTCTTTTCTCATCATCCATTCTTCTTCGTCCTCTCCTTGCCGACACTTCTCTCAAAGCCTTGTCGTAAAAAATATGCACACTTTCTACGAGATTTTGCTCGTGCCCAATAATGAGGGAGAGACAACGATATCGTTCTTTACAAATGGAAAGAGGTATGTATTTTCTCGGATTGTATGTATTCAGAATAATCCCATCTTTTATGTGTTGTTTCTCTCGGCTCGACTTGTAAAATTATTTGTTTGTCATTATCATCCTTTTCAAATCACCATGATTTTTAATCGTGGATAATATTCTTTTACGAATCCACTTCGTTCTTTCTCTCACAATAGATATCTATTCAATTGCTCCGAAAATCTAAACCGTTTCTGTACCGAATGTGGAGTGCGTATATTCTCTAATTTGGATCATATTTTCATTCCACACATTTCACCAACCTATTTGGGAGGTTTACCAGGAGCAATTATTACGTCTTCCGAATTGCAACCCGCCAACAAACTTCACTTGTATGGACCTCCCAATTTGTGGCATTATTTAACATCATTGAGGCCGTTTGTGAAAACTTCAATGCATTTTAAGATTATGTTGAATCAAATGATGGAACATCAACTAGACCAAGATTATCTTTTTCATAGCGATGAAAATCTTACAGTACGAGGTTTACTGTTAAAAAGTGACCGTGCTTCAAGAGGAGATTACCACTCCCACTTACAGCAATGTGATTTTGGAGCGCCATTCGTATTACGAAATGCTAATGGCAGCTTTAGAAAACACTCGTCAAATATTGTTGGAAATTTATCTTGGGATTTTCTCTTCTCAACTAAGAAGAATGACAACAACAAAAATACCTCGTCATCAAATAGCAGCGGTCGTGATTCTCAAAGTACAGACCTTTCTCCCATGAAAAAAAAGCAAAAAAAGGAGAGTGAGGCATGTTATTATAGCTTTAAAAACCGCTTGAACATTCAACCATTAGGCGAGTTTGAAATTACTCAAAATGAGACTCTCAGAGAAATGCTTAAACACATGCATCCAACCATGGCTGATTATTGTCTATGCTTTTTATGCAAGACTGCAGACATTCCAGGTAAATTTGATGCTGAAAAAGCCAACCTGCTTGGCATTGTTGGAGCAGACAGAGGAAGACTTGTCAAAGGTGAAACCATACAAGTGAACGGACGTACCATCAAACCTGAAGATATTATTAGTCCTCCAACACCTGGTTCAGAAGTACTAATTATTAATTGCCCTAATGAGCATTACTTGACAAGTTTGTTGTCAAACAAACACTTTGAAAAGTACATGAGCACGGTAGTATCGGTGATACACTGTGTTCCTCATCATATTCTCACAACTCCTCAATATCGAGAATTTATGGATAAGTTTCATAAGGAATGCGATCATGTCATTGTAAATGAAGACTCCTCAAAGGATGCCTCATCATTTGTTTCCTCCTGTACGAACATTACAGAGTTCAGTCTAGTTGATAAGGAATTATTTACTCAATGTTTAACACCGAATTACAAGAGTGACTCTGGCTCAAATAGATCACAAGTCATTGAGCAGCATCCAAATGCAAAAGTGGTATATGGAGAAAGTTTAATGAGATACAATCTTATTCCAGTTCGATATAGAGGCATAGACAATAGCAAAGTATCGTATATTCACAAAATTGATCCAGAACAAGTTGAGCAAACCTTTTACCAAAATTATCCAGCCATTGCCAAACATTTGAATGACTACAAGGAAAGAGTTGCCAAGGAAAGTGACTTGAATCAGACCGAATCTCATCCACAAGCCAATATTTTAAAGAAATGTAGTGATGAGGAATTTGAAATAATTTTCTTGGGAACTGGTTCTTCTATTCCATCCAAGTATAGAAATGGTAAGTTGTTGTTGGTAGTGGTGCAAGTTGTTACATTTCATCTCACATTATTTCTCAATTATTAACACACGTGCTAACAATTCCCACAGTGACTGGTATTTTATTGAACTTGTTCGATCGTGGAGCAATTCTGTTTGACTGTGGAGAAGGAACATTGTCTCAAATTTACAGAGCATGTGGAAAAGAAAAGCAGAGGCCATTTTGAAAAAACTAAAATGCATTTGGATTTCTCACTTGCATG